TTGATTTGTAAGGGTATTTTAGGAATTGCATATGTTTTTTAAAAAAAAATGAACGAGTGGAACTTAGACCTGGAAAACTATATTCGTGCACCCTCCAATCGATGTTGCAGAACTCGAAGAACACCGACCGACGGAGTGGCCGTAACTGGAGCCTCCGCTTCCAGGAAACTCGTCGGGGTAGGCGGAGAGGTCGTCATCTGAGATGGACTCGGAGAAGACACACTTAGTGATACCGCCAGAACCTGTACCAGAGAAAGAGACGGAAGCTGTGAGACTCGCTTGTCTCTGAAGAGCACGTTGGCACTGCCGAAGAAATGGTTGAAGAGTGAGAGCGCGACGAAAGCTGTGACGGGGATGCTTGCTGGACGGAGAATGTGTCGACATCGGAGAGTGGGTGGCCGAGATCGTGGACGATGCTGGGGAAGGCACACCAAGGAATTGCGCATTGCCGGAATATTGGTGTACGGATAAGAGAAGAAAAACAACGGGAAATGATTTGTTCATTTTTTCAGGATCAAGATTTTTGGTAAAATATTCCGGCAAGTGAGCTGCCTTTGTAAACAAAAGTTATTAAATGAAAAGAAAAATGCGAAACAGAAATGTAGAATAAATGCTTTTAATCCTAGATTGATATTTTAGTTGAGGCATTAAGAAATTATTACATAACTAGCCGAGAACAATATTCGAGTGAGCCTTTTGAAATAGGTCTTGTTTTCTTGTGATTTTTTTTNATTTGAGCTATGAGTATGAGTTATTGTGATGTATTCACGATATGTTGCCATCATATTTGTTTGTATTGTTGTCGTGTTGAGAAGTGAAATTCTCAGGTTCGAGTCCGTGTTTCGTGTTTGCTTTCTGGGCAAACATGGGAGTTGCATGTCTTGTACTTGACTAAGCACTAGCCATTGCACATTGTTTTTTTACGTACACAATGGTGGTTTTATATAGGCTTCGTTTTCTTCATTAGCTTGCCATTGCACATTATTTTTACTTAAACATGGACTTTGTTCCTTCATTAGCTTCTCATTTTCGCAGTAATCTTGCATTGGTGTGATTTATATATGCAGAATTGAAGGCATCTGGTTATTATACATGTTGTTTTAAGCTTGAACATTTATCTTAAAATAATAAATGAAACAATAATAATATATAGTCGAGGAGTTGTTCGGTTTTTCTCTTCTGGAGTTAATAAGAGGTAAAAAAAATAAAAATAAAAAATGTAATCATTATACAATTATATGACCGACTGTGTCGGCGGCTCCGACGGCATAGCCGATCACGTTTTCGAATAAGGCAAATAGTCTCGAGCATGACGGAGGCATTTTTTCCGTACGAGACGTCGATAAGGAGCCCGGGTTGGGCCTTGAATGAAGGTGTGGGAGATGTCGAGCATCCAAAAGCTGCCAAGAAAACGACGGTGACAACAGCCAAGCCAGGAGACATCGGTGGTGAAGGCGATGAGATTGCAGATAGAGAGGGAGCCGCGTTTGTTGGTTGGCGACATGTGTTTCATTTTATCTTATTTTTTGTTAAAAAATATACAAATATCCTAAAATGCCCTTAAAAATCAGCTTTTTTTTTTATGTCAAAACTACTTTATTTTCAGTTTAGAGGGCAAGATGAAAAAAACGTGGAGTTCGTATGGTGGTTTGTCAAAAAATATAGTTGATATAGTAAGCCGCAAAAATTGCGATCATTCGAATGAGAAAAAGTAATTTACCCTTTTTATTTCACTACCTATTTTAGCTATTAGGCATAAGCTAAAATATATCCAAATCGAGCAAACTTGAACTCAAAGATTCACAATAAAACACAATAAGATACTTGAGAGGATATAATTCATTTGAGATTTTAAGACACATTTTTTTCTTTTGCATCCATTTTTTTTTAATATTAATTTTAGTAAAATATTTAGAAATTTTTAATCTAAAGGTATGATTTGTGGTGGCATTTATAATTTGTGTATGAAATCTCCAAAAATATTTAGCATACGTAATACGTACCTGATATCTCAATAATTTTAGAAAATTCTAACAAATTTCAATTTTAAATAAGTTTAATACATAATAATTTTTTTAAAACTTTTAAAATATGACTTAAATACCACAAGATTTTAAAAAAATAAATAAAAATTCTAATTAAAAACACATAAATTTCTAAAATCTTAAAAAAAAAATTCAAATGAACACACCTGCAGTACACATTTATGTTACCATGAATTCGATGTCCACTTGTTAACTTTAAACACATATCACCAAAAATATATGCAACTAAAGTTGTAAATAAAAATTAAGTGGACTATGTCTCATCAACCCTACTGGGACATGTTTTGTTATTCCACAGGCTATTTCATTCAACTAAAGAAGTTCCGAATCCTACAACATGTTTGTTTACTGAGCAATGACTAATTCCAAGGCCACAAAAATACAACACATCTGCTCTCCGCCGATGCAATGCACTGAAGAAAAAGGTCAAGAAATCCATCACCAAAGAAACAGGGCAAAAACATTACCCAACAAGATACATATATAAAGGCCTCCTAAAACATCCTGCTATTACAAACTAGACATACACTGAAACACACAGGACTGGAGTCATCGGTTTTTCTTCCTTAACACGCTAAAGTCCTTCTACCGACAAATAATCAGCCGTACCTCCCTTTCTACTTGTTTAGCAGTAGACGAGTCACGAGAAAACATACAAACGCAAGCTCAACAAACCAAAAACACATCACCTAAACTTGGATCTCTTGGAAGCAGCCGGAATGCTGGGCCCCGCCCTAGCCTTTCCGGCAGCCTTCATCTTCCTCCTCCTCCTCTCGTCCTCACTATCCGACTCATTCCCCTTCTCCCTGTCAGCATTGCTAGCCTCCCTCTCGAGCTCCTCCCACGTTTTCCCCTGCTCTTCCCCTTCAGAATCCTCCTCCTCATCATCATCCTCCGACTCAACCAACGACTCGCTGTCCGAGTCATCATCCTCCGATTCCGACTCAGGCTCGGCATCCGACGGCTCGTAACCCTGGTCCGACTCGACCGAATGGTCCGAGTCCGAATCAGTAGCCTCCAGGTTAAGAAACTCCCACCCGCCTTCCTCTATGAACTGCTGGGGATCGTCTGTGATCGTTTTCAATATGGGCCGCCAGTTGAGATTGAGCCGGCTCTCGTAATACTTGATATCAGTCGTGTCGAGCCACTCCTTAATACCGTCGAGCGAGGTCGAGGGTATCGAGTCGATCCTCATCACATCCCGTTTAAAGTCTTTGAACACGATCGCCATGTCGAAATTCTTCTGCGCGAGGCCAACGCGCTCCAAGTTGACGATCTCGATATCGGCAAGTGAAACGACAAGGAAAGGAGTCTCGATCAGCTCGACTAAGCAGCTGGAAGTGGGGACGATGAAAGCCGAGGCCTTGTAAGGTACCCCGTGAAAGCCGAGTTCGCGGAGAGGCTGGTCGAACTCGAGGTCAAGGCCTTTGAACTGGCCTTGTCCCCACAAATCGTTCACTCGATTCACGAAATGCTGAAAATCGGTGTTGATTTTGTTCTTCCGGTCGCGCTCCCTCTGCTCCTCCTCGATCTCGTCGGGGTCGTAAGCCGACCGTTTGCTTCCGCCGATGTTTTGGACCATTTCCATCACCTCGACGTAAAACTGGACATCCTTGGTCTTCTTGTTGCCGACCATGATGTGGTTGTGGAGGTGAAAATGGACGAGCGTGATCATCTCCTTCTCGGCCGGCTGGAAAAACGCGTGCTTAATGTTGCCGTACATTATGTCGACCCGCTCGTCCGCCCTCGAAGTCGAGAACCGGAACCCATTGGCATGGGCCTCGAGCGTGCCCGTCAGCTTCCGGGCTCGGCCGCCGAAAACAGGCCGTATCCAGAGGTCGTGCAGTCGGATTGGCTTGAACCGGTTGCCTGAAAGAACGAGCCTCTCCTGAGTCACAAGCGTGGCCCGCTCGGCCCGTTCGGACTCGCGGGCCATCACGTTGCGCCTCAGCGTCTTTATCAGCTGCACGACCTCGCTGATGTGGCGCGAGTCCTTGGACCGGAAGGAAACCTCCTTGAGGTACACGGCACCCTGGTTCTTCAGCGAGTTGGCGTCGTGCGGGCTGAAGGGAGTGCCCGGCACGTTGAAGATGATTCGCACGTAGCAGTTTCGGTTGGTATCCTGCTGGCTCGACACAGTCTTTACAGTCGCCACGTGGAACGGGACCATGCTGCCGTAGATCGGGAGGAGAATGGCCTCGTTCTTCTGGTCCACCTGGATCATCATCTCCCTCGGAGGCGGCAGCTCGTTTACGTTCTTGTACGCGATTAAATCGCTGGCGGCCCGAGCAGAAGCCCGCCCGTCGCCTGCACCCGACTCCACGCCAGCCAGGCGGCGAGCCGTCTCCTCGTTCTTCTGACGGGCGAGCTCCGCTTGGTGCTGCTTCCTAAGCTCCTCCTTCGACAGCTCGCCGTTGTCTGAACGGAGGGTCGCCTTCGAGTAGACGACGTCCTTCGAGGCAACGTTCGACTCGGCACGAACCTTGGGCTGCTCGTCCTCCTCCTCGTCCTCGTTAAACGAATACGCCACGTCCTTGAGTAATTTCGAGCATGCTGACGTGACGATTTCGCGTCCGTTTTCGTTGACAATAACTGTGTCAGCAAGCAGAAGCGAAAAGTTCTGATTCTTGGTGGGCTTGCTCGTTTTAGCCTCTAAGTTCTGGAACCCGAGCGAGACGTTGAAGACCATCCCCGATTTAAGCGCGCGTTCGTTCTTCGCGTTCAGGCTCAATCCCGATTCGCGGAACTCGAGCCCGATTCCGGTCCCGGCCGATTTCGTCAGGTTGGGAAGCAGCTCGGGGGAGTCTCTCTTCACGACAGAGACAGCTGCTTCGTAAACGGCTCGGGCCTTGTTTCCGGGCTTCACGGCGAGAATGGCTGCCTCGTGGGCTCGGAGGAGGACCTCATAAGCCTTGCTCTGAGTCGAGTTCGAGTCGATAAGGTACGTTCGGGCAACGTTCGAGCAATAGCTATTGTAACGGGACCCAACGGCGCAGATGATGATGCTGGAGGAATCGTAGTACAGATACTCGTCGTTGCTCGAGGCACTGGGCCGGAGATCGAAACTTCCTCCGCTTTGAAAAATTGGCGGGTAGCAGATATCTACATTTTCGGCCTTGAGCTTGACGCCGATTTTTGTTGGGTCAAGTATAGCCTTCTCTGTGTCTTCCATTAGAGACGAGTGTGTGACTTTCTTCTCCTCGTCGATCACCTTCTCGACTTTCGGGACCACAAAGTTCTTCATTGCCGAGGCAGTCAAGTATGCGGCCTTCTTTATGCAAGTGATCTCGTTCTTATCCTTCACGGCGAAAAGTTCGGACAACCCACTGGATATGTCGCTCAGCTTAAGACCCGAATCTTTCAACTTATCCGACCATAGTTCGAGGAGTTTGCCCTCCGGAGCTTCTCGAGCTATGTACCCGATTGTTGGGGACTCGTGACCGTTCGACTTTGAGTGTGAACGGATGGCACGGAGAATGGAGTCCATGTAATTGCTGCCGCTATCGTTTTTTGCCTTCACATGCATGACTACATCAACGTCAACGGCTTCTCTAGCGGGCTTTGCCACGACCTCGAGCAGTGAGGCTTTCTTTTGGCTGCACAGGAAATGGATTTGCTTGTCTTCGAAGACTATGATTGTCTCTGGAAATTCATAACCGAGCAACCATATATTGAGGGCAGAGGACTTGAGGTAGCGCAGGTCTTCAGAAGGAGGTGGTGTGGCAATAGCAAGGGCATTGGAAGAGCCCCAGTGCTCGTCTTTGTGGTGGCGCCAGTGCGTGTACAGAGCCTGTAATCTCTTGCTGAAGGTGTTCAAGTCAATCGTGTATGCATTGCCTCCTCCAGATCCATTGCCATTGGCAGGTTGGCCATTTGGGTTGCGTTGTTCAGGCATGGTGCATCTGTTCAAAGGTTGATTTAGAATAATTAATCTACTCATTTTTCATGAGACGTGAAAATAAAAAAGGAAAAACAAATGCTAAATGATTAAACAGAACACTGCATGATCCACTCTGAGAAGACAAACAGAGCACCAAAAAATGACGTATCGAAGATGACCATCATGCCATAATTGAACACAAAACTGTAAAATAGTTGTATATAAACAAATAAAAGGATTACAAAACGCCAGATAAATAAACTAATCCATGCAGCAATATCATCATGAGAACATAACCTTTCTAAAACCACAAGCAAACCACACAAACAACCTTTGTAATCGAACCAGACACGTTTGATTTTAATGGCATCAAATGTATGTAAAAAGGAGTTGCAATAAATTTAACTGATAAGATAAAACCTCTTATACAACACATTTCAACATAGAAAAATTTCACTCATCAGCATAGTTTTTCACAAAATAAAATTGATGCAACATGCCTTACATTTTTTTATCAAGCGTCTAAGAGTTTAGTAGCATTGCCCAGAAAATTAAGTGGAAAAAAGAGGCACTTATAACATCACATAAGCACAGAAGCTGCAACAATGTATGTAAGTTAGGTATCAACGGTTTAGTTCTCCGAATATCATCTTCTGACACTATCAGAAACAAAAGAAACTAATAAAATAACAAGTTGTTACAACACCAAGTCATCAATCATATCCATCGAGTTTTGGTCGATACTCAATCCATATATGCACGCATAACTCAACGAAGCACATCAATGCACCGACAAACAAACAGCGAACACGACAAACTAATGAATTTATGAATTACGAGCTGTCAAATAATTTCAACCCTGTTTTCAAGATAACCAACAAAATCGTGTCACTCTAGAATACAATTTAGCATCAATGGTGTAGCTTAAGAAACATAAGTCACCAGTTATTTACTAGATAACTGATAAACTTAATAACTTGTCGGAATAGCTAGTGTTTTTTTTTTTTCCTTGTTTATGTAAGCTAATCCTAATCAGATCAATTGATTTCAATCTGGGCAAAAATTCTGTTAGTCTAACAACACAATGAACAAAAATATGGTCTTTCAAGAACATAATTGACAAAGTGACTGTAGCGTCCTGACCAAATCCAGTTAAAGAAATGTATAAAACGGTTGCACAATCACCGAATTTCCCCGTGACAACAATAACCCAGTCGATAATCTGCAAATAGATCGGTTAAAAAACTGGAATCGATCTTCGTTCAGAAAACAGATGGAGAAAAAAGTTGCTTCAAAGCTCAAATATAGATGAGAACCAATCAAGATTCATCGGAAGAAAATGTATAAATAAGATAGAGCAAATGATTCTTACAAATATGCAGATTGATCGGAGACCGGCTGGCGGCGGTGGAGGTGGAGGTGGCGGCGTCGGCAACGTTGGCTATCGTGACGATTGACAGGTGACGAGGTAGGGTTTGGTCTTCTCAATGCAATTAGGGAGGGAAGAGCATCAGCGCGGATACATTTCTACTTTTCAATTTATTTATTTTTTTCTTCTCAATTTATATATATTGATAATAGTAGGCAACGACTTTTATAATCGTTTCCAATTTGTTTTAGGTTAATTATGCAATAAGATTTTATATTAATTATATAAGTAACAATTATATTTTTCTAATTGTTCTACCATAAACGAGCCGTTTATGAGTTTAAATTGTTAAGGCTCGAGCTCAGCCGTTTATTGCATTTCTACTTTTCAATTTTTCCCTTCGATATATATACAAATAACTAGTATGTATGAAACAATAATTATAAATTATTTAATATATTAATTATTATAAAAATGATTTTAAAAATATGAATATTAATTTTTATTCATTTAGTTTATCATGTATAATAATTTAATATACGAGTTATATCTTTATTTCACTTGTTAATAGCTGTCATTTTATAGTTTTTTTTTTTATAATTGAAGATAATGAAGATTTAATAACCAAACATTATCAGTAAATATTATTCACATAATACTTCTCTCCCTCAATTTTTTTTACATCTACCTTATTACAATATATTATTTTAATTTATAAATAAATTATGTTAAAGTTGAAAATCGTGGCAAATATTATAACCAACACTTAACTAAAAATGATTGTAATACACTATTTTAAATTTAAAAAATTTATTAATTTTACATTAACATTGTTGTTTTTTTTATAATTTATAATAATTTATATATATCTAAAAAGGTTGATGTAAAAATCCTTTTTTAGAAACCTAAAAATAATTGAGTTGACTTTTGACTTTCTATTTATGTATTCTGCTTTAAAATCGGAAGAAAAATCGTGAAAAGGCAGTGGATATTTCGTTAATTTAACATGAAATTTGTGTTAATTAAGCAAATGGATTCCGTTAATTAAGCATGTAAAATTGACTATCCGTTGCAAAAATCATGGGACTTACTATCTATCCAAGGAAGTAAATATTTCGTTAATTAAGCATGAAATAAAGCAAATGGATATTCTCCTTAATAATGGTGATATTTTCGTTAATTAAGCATGTGAAATTGATTGTCCGTTGCAAAAATCACGAGACTTACTATCTATCCAAATACAATCCATAATTATCTTATCACTTTTGGTTAATAAGAAATATGTGAAATTGATTGTCCGTTGCAAAAATCATGAGACTTACTAACGCATTCCATATACTGTTTCATGATGAACAGGTAATATTTACCTTTGTTATTTCAATTTTATATAATTTAGAAAATTATTTTAATTAATATTTATAAATTTGTAGGGTGCTTTCATTAAATGCATAATACGTTATCCGAATATGAGAGCAACAAACTTTATATAAACTGAGAGCAGTCTAATTTTTGTAAAATATGTAAACTTTAAACGTGTCTTTATATAAAATTGTATATACTTTTAAACATGTTAGTTGGGCAAATTTTAAAGATATATATATATATATATATATATATGTGTGTGTGTGTGTATGCTAACTTTAACTATAAATATTTTTCTTATAAAATAGTTTAGACAAAATTGAGGTAATTTCACATTTTTCAATAATAATATAAAATATTTTAATACTTTCACGTATGTTATATAATAGTTTACGTATTCTTAATGTCTTTTGATTGTAACATTGTTAACACATATAATATTAGATACTTTTAAACAAATTTAGATAATTTTTTTACTCATTCTTTAATATCTATGCGCATGAAAAGAGAATAAGATTTATAAAAGATTTTCCGGCAATATACTAAATGTTAGATAAAAAATCTCATTTTATTTGTTATATAATATTTCGAGTTGCATTAATTTTGATTTGTATGTGTAAAATTGATAAATTAAGCATATGAAAGGAACGTACGAATTATTGTAAGGATTTAGAAAATAAAAAATAAATCTAATTTTTGAATATTTTCTACTAACTTCTAAACGAATTTATGTCATAATTCGTCATAATTTTCCTACATCATGTCAATATTTATTTTATATATACTAAGTAAAAGGTAAATCATTATCTCAATATTTATTCTATATGTTCTAAGTAAATCTTCTCATCTATCTCAACGGTCCGCAGGTAGTATTTCATACTTTTCTATTCATAATCAAATATATCAAAACTTCACAAATTTTACTTCACAAAGAAAGTGTTCAATAATTTATATTTTTTTTCCTTCTTTGCAATCCATTTATCTTTGTTACATATATATAAATTATATTATTTTTAATATTTCACACGTTAAACATTTCAGGAAAATATACCATCCCGTGCATCGCACGGGCTACATGCTAGTATATATTACAAATGTATTAAATTTTTCTTTCTAATCTATTGTGTTTCTTTCTAATCTATTATGTTTCTTTCTAATAATGTTTCTTATAATTTTATTTTTTATTAATGTTTCTTTCTTTGGACTTTGATCCTCGAGTTGAGTCATCATTCTCAAGGTCAAAAGTCAGTAAGTTCAGCCATATAAATTCGGTCAAGACGGACGAATCTATTATGTTTCTTTCAATTTAAAATAATTAATTCTTCTGAAGACGCTGAAACAAATACAAATGGAGTATGTAAATTGATCTAACAAACCATAATAGTTTACTACAAATCACTACACAATTTCGAATACTTTACTGCACGGGTAGTAACTATCACAAACTACGCAATAAGCATATTCCAGTTTCTTCTTTTACAAACAAAGGTAAACCTCATGTAGTGAAGGAGGGTTCTACTTGGCATATGCAAACTTCAGTTTACATTTTGTCGTTAATAATAAAAACTGACGCCGTTCAACATCAAAGCAATTCTTGATGTATCAACAAAATTTGTGAACTCCTCAAGGCATCAAAATATGGTTTAAGTTCAAAGCAGAATGTATACCATTCTTATTCGTATTCCAAGTAAAATCCGCTCAGAAAAAAACATTCAAATGGTTTATCCTGTCACTGAGAACTATTATCATCCAGGCAATAAGTAACACAAAACAAAACAAAACAAAACAAAACGTGAAAGGTCTCTGTTGTTGGCCTTGTCCAGTGACCGAGCAAATTAAGTAGTGATACTTTCATCTGCAAAGCAAAATTATAGTATATAAGAACCAAATGGCATTGTGTAACCAGGAACTCTGTGAAGATCTGTACAATTAGAAAAGCTGTAGCTAAATGTTCAAGTCAACTCTGAGAACTTATAGTTACCCATACAGCAAACCATGGAAAAAACAGCAGCTCGTGCATTTGCAGAAAAGAATATGACAATCTTAGTCTCCTAGTAACATAAATCGTAATATTTGGTTCAAATACTGATCTAGTTCAATCTCTGATAATGTCACCAACTTTTTACTCCAACAAGATTGCAATATACTTGTATGCCGCCGAAAAGCACAATATCCGATGACCGTGGTTCTATTATTGAACTAAGACTGTATGCATAAATGTATTCTTAAATTTTCATGACGAAAGCAATAAGTTACCAATAAGTTGCCTGAGGGTAAGTGAGCATAATTAAAGTAATAAACGAATAGGATCAGGTCTTTAAGCAAAATCACATATATGCTTAAAAGTTAAAAACACACAGACAATCATTAAGATGGCAAGGTACGTGTCTGGTCGTAATAGTCTATAAATATATAAGGATCAGACAACTAAGATCATAAATATTGAACATGGCAACATTTTTCACGGAACGTCACAAGCTAGGGGAAAGGGTAAACCCAATATAAATCATTCCACATTTATTTACTGTTGAAAGGAACATTAATAAAATGCAATCCACCATGACTTACACATGAGCCAATGAATCCATTAAATATACACATAATGCATTCATAAGCTTCCACAAGAAGGCAAATCACCATTACAAAAGCATTAAAAAAATTGCAGTACACAACAACTTAATATGAAACGGCCACACCGAAACTCATTTCCAGCAAATGCTAAATGGTTTAAAGAAAATGCTACTTTGACATAATTATTGGACATAACAACTGACATAAAATGATGGTATATGTAAGATAACAGGATCCTGCCATGTGTGTAATGCCATCCATATGTTCTTGTAACTTGACTTATGGTTTAAATGATGATGAAACAAGGATGTTTCTCATAACAATACTGAAAACAACATGGTTACAACGACTGAACACACATTATAAGGCTAAATATGACAAGAAATTCAAACAATTCGCCCTTCATAAGACAAAAAAATATGGATTATGCCTAAGGTAAAAGGTGGCTTGTATTAAGAGTCCACTTCAGATATGAATGATGAAATAATGAAACTTATTTCATCAATTTATATTGATCAAATATGAACTAGTAACGTTACAGTGATATCCATGAGTAAAATACAAATGCTTATCATAGATAGTTCAAAAACTGAGACTCAGTTTAACGCAGATAACACAAAGTAAACAAATATATTTATCTACTGAAGCATTCGAATTGAATGTATTACATCAGTTAACTAATATTCATCCCAATTCCCGACATATAAAAAAACATTTACTCAATCAACTGCAAGCTTTTCTCATATTTAATTGTCAGAGGCAACGAAAAGGAACAGGGGTGCCTTTCCATAATTTAACCAAAAAAAAACCTATAAATTTCCATGTTTGTAGAGTCTGAATATAGAATTACCAAACACTAAGGTCACTGGATACTATTAACAAACACGATTGGTACCAAAAGGCAGCAAAACATAGTCTTGTACCCTTGCATGATACAAATCAATTTGATAAACAAGAAAATCAAGAACATCAACCCCAAGTGGCATGCCATATTCAACTATGACTTCAGCAAAGCACATCAATCACATGAAAAAAAAAACGAAAAACAGCAACCAGTAATAATCAAAATAATCAGGTGCACAAAATCTGATTCAATCACGACAATTCATTACCACTGCAATAATCAGCAATAATCAAAAACCAAAAGAGAGAGAGAGAGAGAGGTGTGGATCTATCCTTCACAGACAACAGGGTTTGCAAGCAATATAAAACGAAACAGAAACTTACTTCCTGTGCCTCTGCACAAACGGAGAGTTCTTCGCGTCCTCCTCTGCGAGCAAACAAGTAAATCAAGAAAGGAGAAAAAGGGAATAACACGCGCATAACAAACGAGAGATATGAGAAAAACCAACCAGTGAGACCGAGAGAGAACTTAGTAATGATGGCCCCAGTAACGGCGAACCCGACGAGGAAAGGCCAGTTGCGATTCCACTCTCTCTTGAAGAACACGGGCCATGGATCGAATTTCCTCATTTTTTAGCTGCACACTTTCTTCTTTCTTTTTCTCTCTGTATATTCACAGTGCACGGATAGATCAGATTGTTTTGTAGGGTGGCTACTGAGCTCCTGGGTTATGGGCTTTGGGCTTTTGTCAAGTGAGCTATAGGCTGTCTAGTAGATTAGTGGGTTGGGTTGAGAGATGTATGAACAGAATTGGACTAGCTGGGCTTATTCTTGACTGTGACTACAAAATATTTGTGAAATTTTTATTTTTAAATACAAATATATAGTTTTTACTGTTTCTTATTAATTGATTTGTTGTTCATATTTAATTATTAATCACCAATGTATCCTATAAGATGTAAAAAAGTTTAATGAATTATGTTAATCAGAAAATACACTTATAGTAATTGATGTAATGAAAAGATAAGAAAAAAATTAAATAAGTTGAAAATATTTGATTCTAATTGGTAAGAAAAAATATATAAAATGTAAATGTTAATTATTTTTATACCAATAAATATAGAAGTTGATAATGCATCACTTCAAAATTTAGAATTACAAGTTACAACATATAGTGCCTTTATTCACAAGTTGAGATTCTATGATCTTTCAATCACAGATTCATCGTATATGATATGTTAATCTCCTGTCACGTTAATTAGTAGACGTAAAAAAATGAGACAAACTCACTAAAATGTATTTATATATAATGAAATTAAATTTTTTGAATTTATATAAATATGTGCACAAATACGAGCAAAATTAACTAACAAATTAATTAACTAAATATTTGCCTACCCATCAATAAATTGTAAAACTTAAACCTAAAATTTAATAGATCCGTTGATGTTCCCCCGTTAAAATCTCGGACTTCTCCACTTGAGCCGCCATTAATTTCAAAGGCTCTCCTTTCAAATTTCAAATTTCAAAAAACTCCAATTTTACAGCCGTTCACTCCAATTCCCCCTTTCTCTCTCCACCTTGTGCACACACACATATATACCCATCGTCCCCAATCCCAACCAAAACTTCTCATTCTCCATTCCAATTTTCTCTCTCTTTCACCCAATCCAAGAGAATCCAGAAGAGAGAGAAACACATCATCAAAAAAATCCGACGAAAATGCGTGAGATTCTTCATATTCAGGGCGGCCAGTGCGGAAACCAGATCGGCTCCAAATTCTGGGAGGTCGTGTGTGCCGAGCACGGCATTGACGCCACCGGGCGCTACCATGGGGACTCAGATCTGCAGCTTGAGAGGGTGAACGTCTACTACAACGAAGCTGGCGGCGGCCGCTTTGTTCCTCGTGCGGTGCTCATGGATCTCGAGCCCGGGACCATGGACAGCATCAGATCTGGGCCATACGGGCAGATTTTCAGGCCCGATAATTTCGTGTTCGGGCAGTCGGGGGCCGGGAACAACTGGGCCAAGGGGCATTATACAGAGGGTGCCGAGCTGATTGATTCGGTGCTTGATGTCGTCAGGAAGGAAGCCGAGAATTGTGATTGCCTGCAAGGTATTTGATAATTTGCCAGTTCTACAACTTTTTATAATTTTGGTTTTTTTGTTGTTATATCGGATGGTGAATGGTGTTTGTTTCTGCTGATGAATAGTTTATCAACAATTGCTTTGTTATTCGGAGCTTGCCTTATGCAGATCTGTGTTTTCCATAATCGATTATCTGTATAGCCTTATTCCTCGAAATTGGTTAACTTAATTGATCTTTTCCCTTTCTATTGCTTGTTTGCTTTCATTAACTGGATATTTTCCAACCCCTTGGATGTGTTGTTCCTGTTAACTATGAAATTGTATTTATAGTTTCCTTGCAATATGCAAATAACGAACACCGTTTTATCTCTGCTGAAATGAAAAATAAAAAACTAAACCAATAATTACATTCCCTGTACAGATATATGTTTGCTGGGGAGAGCTTGTTAGGATATATATGAAAATGTACTTTTGTTCTAATGCGGATAAACTATAAACGTTATGCAGGTTTCCAAGTGTGTCATTCCTTGGGAGGTGGGACCGGGTCTGGGATGGGGACTCTATTGATCTCGAAAATAAGGGAGGAATATCCAGACAGGATGATGTTGACTTTCTCTGTGTTCCCATCACCAAAAGTCTCCGACACAGTCGTGGAGCCTTACAACGCCACATTATCCGTTCATCAGCTCGTGGAGAATGCTGACGAGTGCATGGTTCTTGACAATGAGGCCCTTTACGACATTTGCTTCAGGACACTTAAGCTAACAACTCCCAGCTGTAAGTCCCCTTAAATCAATTTCCCTTGTCAAAGAATTTTGTTTGCTGTGATTTCAATGGAATGTAGCTAGTAATGCCCATATCCATTAATGGTTCGTAGTGGCTTGATGACGATCGTATTCAGTCAGGAACAAATCCGCTCCTAACATTACAAAAAATGCTCAAATTTGACAAAATGAATCATTTTTCTTGAAATTTTTTGAGGTTGTGTTGTGCTTTCCTTTACTACATTTGCTTCTGGACACTTAAGCTCGCAACTCCCCAACTGCGTAAGTCACCTCAAATTAATCTCCCTTGTCAAAAGGCTTTTGTTTGCTGTGATTTCCTAGCTAGTCATGCCCATATCCATTAATGGTTTCATAATGGCTCGATGTCAATAGTATTCGGTCAGGAACAAATCCGCTCCTAACATCACAAAAAAATGCTTAAATCTGACCAAATGAATGATTTTTTTTTTTCTCTTGAAATGTGTTTATGGATGTGTTGTGCTTTTTTGTAGAAAACATGTAACAAAAGATGCAGTAATTAATTATTTTTATTATTTATTGAACAGTTGGTGACCTGAACCATTTGATCTCTGCAACCATGTCCGGCGTCACGTGCTGCCTGAGATTCCCCGGTCAACTCAACTCCGACCTCCGAAAGCTAGCGGTCAACTTGATCCCTTTCCCCCGACTCCACTTCTTCATGGTTGGGTTTGCCCCACTCACATCTCGTGGGTCCCAGCAATACCGAGCCTTGACTGTCCCTGAGCTGACTCAGCAAATGTGGGACGCCAAAAACATGATGTGTGCAGCTGATCCACGCCATGGCCGCTACTTGACGGCCTCAGCCATTTACCGGGGGAAGATGAGCACTAAGGAAGTTGACGAGCAGATGCTGAACGTGCAGAACAAGAATTCTTCCTACTTTGTCGAGTGGATTCCCAATAATGTGAAATCGACTGTTTGTGACATTCCCCCTACTGGTCTTAAGATGGCCTCGACTTTTATTGGGAACTCGACTTCGATCCAGGAGATGTTTCGGAGGGTGAGTGAGCAGTTCACGGCTATGTTTAGGAGGAAGGCTTTCTTGCATTGGTACACTGGGGAAGGTATGGATGAGATGGAGTTTACTGAGGCTGAGAGCAATATGAATGATCTTGTTGCTGAGTATCAGCAGTATCAGGAGGCGACTGCAGATGAGGAAGATGAGTACGAGGAGGATGAGGAGGCGGTATATGGAGAATGAGCGAGTTTTCGGCGGGAAAAAGTATGATCTGGATATGATGGTATTGGTGTGTGTGTCTCCTTCTTCTTTCTTGTAGTTTTAGATTTAGTTGCTTTGTTCTTTTGGAATTGGATGTAATCTCTACTTCCTTTTGCCTGCTATACTCTGAAATATTTGTTATGTTTTTTCATTTGAATCAAGTTTTTTTTTGTGGGGGTTAAGTCCTTTTGCAGATCTGAAGTTTTTTTTTCCAGCATTCTTCTGTTGGTAATTAAATTTGGTATTGGTATTTTTTGAGTTTTTTGGTAGCATTCTTCGTTACAGGGTAACTCAGAATTTGCCAATTCTGCTTTCTGTGTTCTTGATGAGAATTCCTAGAGAAATTTTAAATTTACCTAACATGATGATGGCTTAAGCAAACAAAATACATCTGTTACGTGTACGCCATAGAATCGTGGATCAAGAGTAAGTTGTGTCGTGACCTCTTGAACCTCAATTTAGTAATAGCCAGTTAAAAAAAAATATTATTTTTATGGATTACGAAAAACTGTAGATAACATATGCATAGCGAGTTAAATCAACAACTGCACAAAATCGTTGAAAATAATCTTGGATATGTTCTCAGACATTCATCAATGAGGAGGAATGTCAGACTTAAAGAAAATCAGGAAATAATGAAAAGCCCAATCGCATTACCAATTTCCTTTCGGTGGATCACCAAGCAAGCAGGACCCCGCAGGTTTGTTCCTACAAAAAATCATGCCAAAAAAAAAGGAAGAAAAGGACAAAAGGAAAAGAAAAGTACAATTGTGCCACACTATGTGTCATTGACTCATTGGCTATCAAAGTCATATTCTTGTTGAAGGTGAACAAAATAAAAATCAACAATTTGTCTCCAGCTTTTCGTTTTCAGTTATTCCCAGATATACGTTGCTCTTCTCATGCCCTTCTAACTATTTCCAGATGTACGTTAGCCATCATTAAACCACTACAAAGCAGAAATTCATCATTTATGTTGTTAAAGGCTAACCATGTTCAGATTTTCTACACTCATCAAGATCCTACTATGTTTTTCAATTTAGAATCGAGACATTGATCTGTAAAATAGTGAAAGAAACTGGTAAAGATGTGAAATATTACCACTCTTACTTACTTCCCATTAAGCCTGCGGTCTAAGGTTTCAACAAGGCTCAAGGTCAACAATGATGATAATTGACACTATTCAAGACATCCACAAAAATGCACGTCTGAAATTACCACTACCAAGAGAATGTGAAATGACTTAATTTGTACAGAATTATCAACCTATGGTCTTATATCATGAGTTGAAGCCTGAAGGTTTGACTTTGAACTGAATGTGAACGTACAATTCTACTGACTGCAATCATCGGTAGGGTCAAATTAGCCGTAAAATTGATCAAGTGTGTTGACATAATCATTTCTTCATCATATTAATCATGCTGTGCATGATGTTTTCTTTTTTGTTGTTTTGTCGCATTTTCTTATTATGAAACTCGTGTTTTATTTTTCTGTTTTTTGTTATTGCATTTTAATTG